GTGGCCGAAGTGCAGCAGACAAGTAAGAACAGAGGCCAGTGGGGGAGAGAGGGGGCCCATCCTGAACACCCCTCAGCATAGGGGGGGACGTGTCTTTCACTCAAATGCAACAAGAAACCTCTGAAGGCCCTTATACTGGCAGAGGTAGGAGAAATGACATCTTAGAGATTGTTCGGCTACATGTCATGACCTGATTGGGGGCCTAGCTGGTGTGGGGGACACTGCTATAGGGCCCATGGTGTAAGCTGGGCATGGTGGTGACAGTGTGGAACATGCAGGGGTGGTGGAGGAGTTTATGGATTCAAAAGCCATTTGGAATTCCTGGGGAGGGATTACTGAGTGGAGGTAAAAGATAGGATGAGGGTGTCTGCTGGATTGGGGCTGTATTAAATATATCACTTATTAAGAAAGATGTGCTGGCAAAGTACTTCATCATGCGTGGTGCGAAGAACCTTCCTTGATCTTCACAATGGGCACAGGGCTCTGTTACCACTGACGTACGAAGAGGGAGGAAAAGTCCAAGGCTGCTTCCAAAGGGCGCACTGCCTGCTTCTGGCATGCCCAAAGCCTGTGTCCTGTTGACTAAGCCCCAAGTCAGCGCCTTCCCTGTGTTCTAGGGGCTGGAACACACATGTGCAAAGGGATACACAGATGGCTTGAGAGGAGTGACGCGGGACATGCAGTCTGAAGGCTTAAAGTGTTGTCGCCTCTGATCTGAGTCAGGTGTGATTTCCTTACCCCAGATGTGACTGCAGGCTGCAGGATGCATGAGGCATCCAGGGCCCCAGAAGCCAGTGCTCTGTTGCAGATGGCAACTCTGCTCATGGGAAGCCCATCTGGGCAGGAAGCCAATGGCTTCCCCCAGGCCCAGGCTACTCTTGCCAGTTGGAGAGGCTGGTGTACTCTTTCTGCACAACCTTTCTTCTGTTCATTCTTTTTAAATGCTGGCTACTTAATTTTCTGTATTGGAATCTGAAAACAAAGACCAAACTCATAAAGGGAAATGGAAATGGCTCATTATTTCCCTCTTGATCTGAGATTGACCAGAGCAGCAATTCTGTTTGAAGTGGGGCACGTTATCTTTTGGTAGCCCTGGTTTCTAAGGATACCCGGCTCCCCCTCTCAGCCAGGCATACTTCAAGATTGTGAATTTGCCCCAGCAATGCCGGGGACTCACTTGTGGCTTCCATCAGTGGTGGTTGTAGCTTGGCAATAGGGCTGAGCACACATGGATGTGTATGTCCCATCCAGCCACCTTTCTGATCCCCTAGAGAAAACTCTAAAAGGCAAAGGGTGGAGGAGACAAACTTCAAGAAGATCCTCACTTCCACCCTTTCTGCCCGAAGGAGGATGGAAGTGAGTGTCTCTCCACCTGGCCACCCACAGTTCTGGTTGGAACCCAGGAGCAGACAGTACTGAGTTCTCTGCTGGAGAAAGTGGGGAGTCCATACCCCAGCACGAATGGGCCACCTGCCCCTCTTTTCCTCCTTCTACACTTGACTAGAGCTCACATGGAGGATGACTGCATGCCACTTCTGTCTGCAGACTCTGTGTCCCAGGTCTGTGGGTGGAGAACAGGACAGTTTTTTGTGAGCTTTTCCCTTATTTTCTTCCCTGAACCTACAGCACAATGCACCATTTATCAGATGGTTCAACAAGACCTGTGTACCTCATCCTTCAAATCCCTGCTCAGGGGCCAATGAGATGGCTTGGCTAATAAAGGCACTTGGTGCCAAGTCTGCTGCATTTGTGTTCAATCCCTGGAACCCCCACAATAGAAGTAGAGAACTCACTGACCCCACAAGTTGTCAGTACCCCACTTCACTGACCCACCCCCTCCCACTCAGTGCAGCTGAGTCACCCTCTGCCTTGGTAGGGTGACTCCTGAGAAAGACCCATAACTTCATCAGGAACACAGTACTACCTGGCCTTGCCTGTCCATTCGTGTCATCTCTCCTATGGTGGCATCCCATATACACTGGGCGTATGGATGGGCAAATTTTGCTAAGCAAACATTCTATCGCTGAGCCAATTCCCTGCTTCCCAGTTTCACTTTAAATGATCATCCATGGATGCTAGATACTACAGAAAATGATGCACAGCTTCAAGTCATCACAGGCTTTCAGAACAGGGTGCAACAGGTGCCTACCCACGAGTCCACCACCCAAGGTATCACCCAACTTGCCCCGATCAAAATCTTTGCCCTAACATCATGACCCGCTGACTCTGCAGGAACCAGGAGCCCGGTCACAGGGGCATCGAATTGGTGGTTGAGCGCTGGGTGGTGTAGGGTAGAGCATAGGTGACTCCAAGTATTTCCAAGGGTTCCCAACATGGAATAGCAGAGAAAGACCAGTCCTGCTTGAAGGCCACTGTGGACTGAATATTTGTGTTCCCTAAACCTATATTCTGATGCCCTCACACAACAGTATACTTGGAGGTGGGGTCTTTGGAAATGACTAGAGTTACAGGCAGTCATAGGATTCGGCCATGTGATGGGGCTAGGGTCTTCATAAAAGGAGAAAGAGGCCAGAGCTCTGTTCTCTGTCACTTAGGAAAACTCTAAAAGGCTATCACCCGTCTCCCTTCTCAGCACTGTGGAAGAAGCTGCTGTGGCTTCAGCCAGGAGCCACAGTGGCATTTTTCACACATCAAACTGAGCTGATGTAGACAGGGCTTGAGGCTGCACTGGCCTCTCCCCAGGGACAGTGACCACTAGGCTGTCGTGGGCTTCCAGGGTACCAGTGGAGGGAGGCTGCTAATCTGAGAGAGAACAAAGGACAGAGCCAGACTGGCCAAGAACTAGGCTTGGGGCAAGTGTTAGGTGTCCCAGCTACACCCCCATCTCCAGTGAAGCCAGGTCTCAGAATCAGTCTGTGCTGTGTCTCCAACCAGCTATTTAGAGCCTTTGGCCATACCTCAGGTTCTTGCTGGAACAGAGCCAGCCGGCAATTGCTGTGGGCATGTGCCACCTGGGGGAAGGGCTTGATTGCTTTGCTGAGCCCTGAACATCAACACTGCTTGGCAGTTTTCAAGATGAGCTGACCACAGCATCTCAGAGCCTCTGTCTCTCCATCTTCCCAGGGATTGCATCACACGCCTCCTCCACACTTTGTGGCTGGGATCGCTGTACCTGTCACACATAATTGCTCCATAAATGGTGGTCATTGATATTTTGATCACGCCTGATTTTCAAGAGCATGGTCTCACTCAGCAGCCTTGGGGGAGGGCAGAGCCCTCTGTATTACAGGGTGAACTGGAAAGTCTGAGGCCTATCCCACATATGGTGGACTAGCACAATGGTTCTCAACCTGTGGGTTGCAACCCCTCTGGGGGATGAATGACCCTTTCACTGGGGTCACCTAAGATCATCAGGAAACACAGTTTATGTTACGATTCATAACATAATAAAATTAGAGTTATGAAGTAGCAATGACAACAATTTTATGGTTGGGGGTCACCACAACACGAGGAACTGTATTAAAGGGCACAGTATTAGGAAGGTTGAGAACCATTGGTCTAGAAGCTGAGCTGTCAATCCCTGGAGAAGCTTACTTGTCCCCAGCCTGCAAAGATTCCAAAGCCAGGGCTGGCACTTAGGTAGCTGCCTGTCTCTTTAAAAAGTCCCTGAGAGCTGAGGGCACCACCAGGGAGCACTTGGCAGCTCTGAGGAGACCATGCCTTCATGTGCTTGACCACAAACACTGTAAACTTAGCACCTTCCTGAGAGCCAGTAAGGAACCCCAGTGCTGCCTGGGACCTGAGGGAAGACCTTCCTGGCAGCTCAGAGAGACAGGACCTTAGAGCAGATCCCATTTTGTTTAGAAAACCAGAGAGGTGACATTGGATGGTAGCCAATCCATGCTCCCACGAATGTGTCATAGCTTCCCTTCTGAGTGTGCTGGCTCCTGCCACTCCTGCCGAGCACAGGCTCCGCTACCCAATCAGGCTGGTGACACATGCTTGGAGAAGCCAAGTTGGTGACATTTCCCTCTCCATGGAGAGATGTGTCTCTTGCTCAGTTGGCAGCCTGCAGAAAAGGCCAAACAACAGATATATCCTTCTCTCAGTGGAAGCCACCACCCTGTAGGGACAGGAACCTCTGTACCCGCCCTTCCCCCAATAGAAAGTCTCATAGCTGAATCACACAGCCCTGGTAGGCTGGGAACCAACCCCAGCCCCAACAAATCCACCTCTGCCTCCCAGTGTTTATTCTGGCCTTTCCCACCGTTGCTTGTTGCTTTCTGTGTCTCTCGGGAAAGCAAAGTGTGTGTTTAGATGTCAGGATTTAAACAACTCAGCAGAAGAAAAACACTGGAATCTGTAGCCTGGCTATTTATGTCTGCAGGGAACAACAGGAGGGCCCCAGAGCCACTGCCCAGCCAGTTCCCTTTGCCACAGACCCTGGACAAGGCCTCCAGTCTCCACATCTGCACGATGGGCTCACCCCTTTACTGATGAAGTCCTGGAACCCTTACACAAGAAACCTGACACCAGGCACATGCTTAAGCTGTATTTGTCACTATGGCTCCTAACCTGTCAGGCACAAGAGTTTCTGGCCTGCTCCTAAACGAGTATGTTCTTTCTTTGGGAGAGGACCATATTTCCTGCCCACACCTGTAGGTAGCCACAGTCCGATGTAGGAAGGCAGTATCTTCATCCATCTTGTTTGTCTGGATCCTCCCCAGGTAATAGGCATTTGGGTGATTTCCAGTTCTTTGCTGCTGAACACGCTGGTGTTGTGGAGATCTGCCAGCTGGTTTTGATGTTGTTCCCTCACAGAACAGGATTATGGGATGCACAATCAGTAACATGGAGATCCATCGATGAGACAACTACATTACAAAAGCATCCAAAGCTTCCTAGAGCCCTTCCCTTAGCTCAAAGCAAACTATACTCTTAGAAGATGCCAGAATATCCTTTGGGGACCACTGGCTTGGCCCCACAGCCCAGGAGGAAGCAGCCAAAATATTGACACGTATGTGTCCTCTCTTTTGTAGAAAGTCTGCACCAAATGCGGGATCGAGGCTTCCTCCGGCCAGAAGCGGCCCCTGTGGCTGTGTAAGATCTGCAGTGAGCAAAGAGAGGTAGGGGTCCTGAGGTGGGATGGGCTTGGGCGGGGCAGGGTCCACTTGCACTGGGGTGCTGGTAGAACTTCTCCAGAGGGAAGGTCCTGAGGAGGACTGTGCAGGATGTCTAGGGGGAAAAGGGTGGGAAAGAAAATCTGCTGGCCCACCTACCCCTCACTCATGTAGAGGTGAGGGTCAGCCCTGCTCTTGTGCTTTGGGGGCCTATGGTTTCCATAGGTAGCCTCCCTGTGAACGCGTGTACATATGGCATTTTGGGGGCTGTAACTAGAGTATTAGTAGTTACCGGAGCTGAATGTCCTCCGAACAGGTAGCACTACACTAAACTACTTACATCTGTCTATTCCTTTCCCCTTTCACATCCCTCTCTGATAGGTGTCGTTTCCCTCCCTTGACGGATGAGGAAACACCTGAGGCCAGATAAGCCAATGGTGAGGGAGATGGGCTGGCAGCCAGAGACTGCCATGATGCTCCGATCCAGTCCTTTCTGGTGCCATTGTTCTGTGGGTCCAGCTTGACCCCTTCTCTGGGGTCAATCATTCTGTGGGGGCGGGGTGATAAGGTCCCCAGGATGGTAGCAGATGTGTGGGGCCAAGAACTTCTCCTTCTCCTAAGCCTGGGTTTTCTCTCTGTCCAAGGTCGGAATGGAAGCAGAGCAGGCCAATGCAGGCAGCTTCTGGGGAGGCAAAGGGAACCTTTAGCTTTCCAGAGATGGTCTTGCTTTTCTAGTTATTTTGCTTGGCACATTCCATCTGAGGGTCTATAAAAGACCTTCTGTCCTGCATGTCTCTGTGCTGTCATTCCATCTTCTTCCTGTGCGTCTTGTTCCAGAACTCCCCAGTCGCTCCTCTGAACCCGTGGGTCCTTGGTTCCTTGGGGGCAGAGCCAACCAACCTGGGTGTGAGATGAGCATGGAAGCATGCCTCAGCCCGACTGTGTGTGCAGTTGCCCACTCCCCTCCAAAGATGCTTCCTCTCACGTGCCCCTGCCTTGGGACTGGGTCCTGTTGTCTGCATCCCTGCCTCCCAGGTGAGCCTCAGTTTTAGGGACTTGGCTGTGGTTCCCCACCTCCTGTGGTAGGCTTTAAGTTCTCATATCTAAGAAGACCAGTCTCACAGCTGTCTCCACCCACTGGTGGGCACTGAGCTCCTTAAGCAGTGCATTTGAACACTCAAAATAGCAAGTAGCTAGGCGAATTGGCACACACCTGTAACCCTGAGCACTCACACTCAGGAGGAAGCAGGAGGACCACAAGCTGGAGGCTAGCCTAGACTACCTAGCAAGATCATGCATGTATGTATGTATGTATGTATGTATATATATATATATATATATATATATATATATATATATATTTTAAACTATAAGTAGTCCAGCCTCTGATATACTGGGGTATGCGTCTTGGTTTTGAGCACAGACAAGCTTACATGTTGTTTTTAACGTATTTCCACCTGTCAATGCTGTGAGTCTGGAAGACAGAGGCACAGGGCCTTGATGTGTGAGCTGGCATTTAGGCCTCCCTGTTGATGTTGGCCCTTCATGGAATGGCCAGGAGGTTGGGGGTTGTTGGTATTAACAAACTTAAGAGGTATACCCACTGACTATCTATAAGTGTTAGGGGCTACCCCTTCCTCAAAGCCAAGGCTCCCTCTTTAAGCTGAAGTCCCTCTAGACTTCAAAGAACCCCTTTTAAAATACAGATAAGTAGCCGGGTGTTGATGACACACTACTTTAATCCCGGCAGGTGGATTTCTAGGAGTTCAAGAACAGCCAGAGCAAATAGAGAAGCCCTGTCTCAGAGAGAGAGAGAGAGAAAGAGAGAGAGAGAGAGAGAGAGAGAGAGAGAGGAGAAAATTTCTGTAGTGTCTTCATGAAGAGACACCTTTGGTTAAGTAAAGGTCACAGGTGACCTGGGATGTTGGAGGTCAAGTTGCCACAAGGGAAAGAAAGTGGATGGGAGGGAAAGAAGGTTCCACCAACTAGATCCACTCATCACACTTGCCTGCACATGCCTTAAGAGTCCTGCACTCCTGGACAGACAGAGGGACATAGGGAGGGCCTCTTAGCCTGTCCTAATCTCTAGGGTGCCCCAGTTTAGAAAAATCTAAAATAGCTTTAGATGAATTTTCTTATCTTTCCTAAGGCAAAGAATACGAGGTTGTGCTTTATGCTATCAACTTGTCCTTGAATTTTAGGAGCTGATAAAGCTTAGCAAGATCAAAAAGGTTTCCCCTCTGTGGCTCCAGGCAGCATTGCTGGGACACTTGCTGAATTTGAACGGGGTCACCAACAGGGTTGTGAACGTGTCTGTGGTTTATCATCTGTGGGTACCATGCCCACATGCTAGAGCCTGCCGCTGTCTGCCATGGGCAGGGAGTGGGGGCAGGGCGATAGGTTTCCAGATGCCTTTTTTCTCTTCAAGAAATATCTAATCATAACAAGGAGATAGAGAGAAAGGACATTTAAATTGCCAGGCTCTGAAAAATGAGTGTAGCTGCTGTGGAGACTGTGATGGGAATTTGGAGTTCTGTCCTGCATCGGAAGGCAGAGCATGACACAGGAACTTGGGCTGCTGATGGGCACTCTTGTGCCGCCCTTCCTGGGCACTCTGGTCTCCCTCTCCTCCTCCATTAGTCCTGGTGGTAATTGCAAGTCATTTCTCTTGAGTGGGCCCAATGCTGGCTGAATGTTCTAGGGCGGGCAGCTTGGTGTTACTGTCTGTCTAATGCACGTGAGCAGCAATGTGAATCTCAGTCTGCCAGATTGAAGTTTAGCACCTAATGTATTCATTCACTTGGGCATTTGATGCATATATATTAAGCATCTTCTATGTGCCAGGTAAGACAGCTCTTATAATGACAGAGAGGGAGAGGGAAGGGAAAAGGGAGGGAGGGGAAGGGAGAGGGAGAGAGAGAGAGAAAAGCCACAAACACAGGAACTGTAACTTACAGATGTGATAATGTGATCCAGGGAAAAAAGTGGGAACAGTAGCCCCTGCAAAAAAGGGATCACTGACAAAATGACATTTGAGCAAAGATCTGAGGTGTACTGTGTGGCTACAGAGGAAAAGCATTGCAGAGTTTGGGGGAGTTGAAGTGTGTGTAAAGGCCCTAAGGTGGGTGTGCGTGGAGTTGGGAGAACAGGTGAAAGGGACAGGGTAAGAGAGGAGGTTAGAGGTGCAGTGGTAGTTTTGTACTAAAGAGTTTGGCTGCGGCTGCTGTAGTCAGGAAAATGGAGGATCTTGAGTATCAATGACATGACAGGGATACTCTGGCTATTTACTGTGTTGTATAAATTGTAGGTTACAGCAGCAGAGTGTTTTGTTCTCCATTTTTAATATTGCTCTGGGCACCCAAGTTATCTCTTGGTCAAGTTATCTCTTGGTAGGGCACTCATATGCACACACACACACACGTACACACACACATGCACACATACACACACTCACATACACATGCACACATACATGCACACATACACATGCATGCATACACATGCACACATACATGTGCACACATGCACATGTGCACACTCACATGCACACATGCACACATATGTACTCATGCACAGGCATGCACACATGCACATAAATGAGGGGCATGCACTAGCTATTGTTGGTAGCATATACCCATGATCCCAGCACCTGGGAAACAGAGGCAGGGGGATCAGAATTCAAGGCCAGACAAGGCTTTATGAAGCTCTGTCTGAAAAAAACAAAAAGCAAAATTCATTCTATTGTTTTTTTAAACAATTAATGTGGATAATTGAGGAATACTGACAATACATAGAAACATATGAAGAAATACACACAAAATTATATCCTGACTCTCTAGAAACAACCACTATTGATGCTTTTGGTATGTTATTTCCAACCTTTTTACTGTTTTTTTCCCCCCTCTAGTCTGTTGAAAATTTTAAATTAATGTTCTAAGTTATTTCATAGTGTAATCAGAAACTCTGGAGATTCTCGGTGGTGTTCCATCTCAAATGTGAATTACATTTTGTTTTATCTTTTGGTTTGGGTTTTTGGGGATAGTATCTCATGTAGCCCAGGCTAGCTTCACATTTCCTATGTGGCTGGGATTAAGGACGATCTGGAATTCTTGATCTTTCTGCCTCCACCATTTAAATGGTCCCCCACCCCTCTGACTAGTAACTATGTATCATTTGTCTACATGTCCTTGTAAGCTGGGACAGAGCTCCCATCCTGATGCATGGGAAACCAACAGTCCTGGCCACTCTTCATCCCCACCCCCACCCCTTACCCCTCACTCCTGCAGTGTAGATTACAGCTCATAGCAGATTCCTAGGCCTAGAAAGATGGCTCAGAGGATGACAGGGTACCACACAGCTGGGACATGGCTATCCAGAAGAGACAATGGCTGAGAAAAGATAGAAGCCAGGGTGAATAAGCAGGGGGAAAGTACCAGCAAAGTGGAACTAAATGACAAGTATTATTAAACTACTAATGGTCTATGAAGTTCAACTGAACTCTCGCCATTCCTATAGCAATAACCCTGGCGGTTCCCCAGAGGTGGCCACAGTGGTTGCCTTGTCCACTGTATATAGATTTTTTTTTTTTTAATTTCCTGGTTGGTACTTCCAACCAAATATCTCCTGTTTCAACTGTCACTTGAGATTCTCTTGCCCCAGCCTCCCAAGCACTGGGGTTTCATATGTAACCTGATCTGTTCTCCAGGCTCTGTTTCCTGGGCCAGTCTTCATCTTTTCAAGACACTAACTGGATGCCCATTCCCCCTGAAGCCTGGCATGCATATCCATGCAGTTTGCAGGTTGCCCATGTATTGATGTGTCTAGAACCATCCCCACACTGCTCACGTCTATGGCAGCTTTCCCAGTCTCGAGTTCCCCTGTTCATTAGTCTTCAGACGCAAGGAACCCAGTAGATCAAGGTTAGAAACAATACAGAAACCTCTCACAGCCGTCTCTTTGCTGGGAATTTTTGCCTGTGACACTCTGCATCTCAGAGATGGCATCTG